AGCAGCTGATTTTTTGATTTATTGTAGAGATGAGGTCTCACTGCCCAGGCGGGTCTCGAACCCACGGGCTCAGGCAATCCACTCACCTCAGCCTCCCAAAGCACGGGATTACAGCCTGAGCCACCATGCCCGGCAGACAGGCCTATTTCTTAGCTGGAAGCTGAACTCTGAGAGGCAGGGACTAGCCTCAGGAGCCTCAGTTTCCCTCTGGAACCATCCCCAGCTGAGGCCCCATTCAATACTTGTATGTGAACTCACCAAATGGAACAAGGCTGCAGGCTCAGGGATAGCTTCGCCCTGAGCACATGGAGCAGGCAGCCCCATCACACACCCCATGGACCATTCAGGAAGCCCCAGCTCCCGCCCCACTGACCACCCCCATCTAAGCCGGGGCCAGGCCTTACCTCCTTCAGGTGGACTCTTGTCGGTGGCCGGCGCCGCTGCCCTCCCCGTACCCGGCCCCGAGTCACGTGCTCCAGGGCACAGCTCTTGTCTACCTTTACCTGGAAAGGAGAAGGAGTCAGCCCAGTCCCACCAAGCCTTGGGGAGAGCGGGAGGTACCCAAGCATGGACCTGTCTCAGAGGCAGTGTCAGATCCCAGCACTGCCCTCTGTGGGCGTCCACTGCTTCTGGCCCTCAGCCTCTCTGTGATTCTCCACTGCCGAGGGGGTCTCTCAGAGTCTGAGGCTCCCTCCCTCTCTGCAACTGCCCTCTTTGCCTCAGTCTTCCTGTCTGAATATGGGCCATCAGCCCTTGCCATAAGTCTACTGCAAATATATGGGGGTACCAAAAAATGTATACCCATCTTAACTATGACGTTTGCTCAAAAGATGGCCTTAATCAAATGAATGCTGGTGTCACCATGCGACAGGCAAGACCGTCAAAGAAACTGGCAGAGGCACGGTTGAGTGAATATCTTACTACACATTGCTACCGGAATTCAATTTCAAAAGTAATATATACATAACATCTCTTAAAATGTACATATAGCCAGGCACGGTGACTCACACCTGTAATCCCAGCACTTTGGGAGGCAGAGGTGAGAGGACTGCCTGAGCCCATGGGTTGGAGACCAGCCTGGACAACTTGGTAAGACCCCATCTCTAAAATAAATCAAAAAAGTAAGCTGGGCGTAGTAGTGCACGCCTGTAGTTCCAGCTACTTGGAAGGCTGAGGTGGAAGGATCACCTAAGCCCAAGAGGTTGAGGTTGCAGTGGCTGTGAATGTGCCACTGCACTCCAGCCTGGGCGACAGAGTGAGACTGACTCAGAAAGGGGGGGGTAATACATTTTGTTGGCACCCCCACACAAACAGCCCTAAGGCTGGGAGAAGTAAACAGCCCATGCTCCACTGGTTCCTGGCTTGTAGAAAAGGCCTGACCTGGCCTCTGCCACTCTCCCAGGACCCCTGGGGATAGCCCAGGAAAGAGCAGGGCCTCTGCCCTTCAGGTTTGAGTGCCTAGAGGGCAGCATCTTCTCTCTGAAGGTAATGAAAGGGGGTCAGAACTAGCCAGCTGAAGTCACAGAAAAAGCATCAAATGGGTTGGAATACTGAGCACCCATAAGGAAGAATGAATCATGTCTTTTGCAGCAAATTGATAAAACTAGAGGCCATTATCCTAAGTAAAATAACTCAGAGGCTGGTCATGATGGCTCCTGCTCATAATCCCAGCACTTTGGGAAGCTGAGGCAGGATTGTTTGAGGCCAGGAGTTCAAGACCAGCCTGGGCAACATAGTGAGATCTCATCTCTACCAAAAATCAAAAAATTAGCCAGATGTGGTGGAGCACATCTATAGTCCCAGCTACTCGGGAGGCTGAGTCGGAAGGAAAGCCTGAGCCCAGGAGGTCAAGGCTGTGGTGAGCTGTGATTGTGCCACTGCCCTCTGGCCTGGGCAACAGAATGAGATCCCAATTCAAAAATAAATAAATAAATAAATCCGGAAGTTAAATATCACATGTTCTCACTTATCAGTGGGAGCTAAACAATGGGTACACTCAGACATACAGAGCAGAATAATGGACACTGAAGACTCCAAAAGGTGGGAGGGTGGGACGGGGTGAGGGCTGAAAAATTTCCTGCTGCGTAGTGTTCACTGTTTGGGTGATGGATACACATAAAAGCCCAAGCTTCACTAGGCAATATACGTATGTAAGAGCCTGTAATTTCGTGCTTTGGGAGGCCGAGGTGAGTGAATTGCCTGAGCCCACGGTTCGAGACCCGCCTGGACAACTTGATGAGACCTCATCTCTACAATAAATAAAAAAATTAGCTGGGTGTGGTAGCGTGCGCCTATAGTTCCAGCTACTTGGAAGGCTGAGGCGGAAGGATCGCCAGCGCCCAGCAGGTCGAGGCTCCAGTGGCTAAGAACGGCCACGGCACTCCAGTCTGGGTGACTGAGTGAGACTCCAACTCAAAAAAAAAGAATAATGGACACTGAAGACTCCAAATGGTGGGAGGGTGGGAGGGGGTGAGGGCTGAAAAATTTCCTGTTGCGTAGTGTTCACTGTTTGGGTGATGGATACACATAAAAGTCCAAGCTTCACTAGGCAATATATGTATGTAAGAGACCTGGCCGAGCTCAGTGGCTCAGCCTGTAATTCCAGCACTTTGGAAGGCCAAAGCGAGTGGATTGCCTGAGCCCACAGGTTCGAAAACAGCCTGGGCAACTTGGTGAGACCTTGTCTCTACAATTAAAAAAAAAAAAAAATTAGCCAGGCTCAGTGGCTCAGCCTGTAATCCCACGCCTTTGGGAGGCTGAGGTGAGTGGATTGCCTGAGCCCGCAGGTTTGAGACCCGCCTGGGCAGCAAGACCTCATCTGTACAATACATCAAAAAATCAGCCGGGTGTGGTAGCATATGCCTGTAATTCTGGCCACTTGGAAGGCTGAGGCGGAAGGATCGCCAGAGCCCAGCAGGTTGAGGCTGCGGTGGCCAGGAGCAGCCACTGCCCTCCAGTCTGGGCGACAGAGTAAGACTCCAACTCAAAAAAAAACATTAGCCAGGTGTGGTAGCAGCGTGCGCCTGTAGTTCTGGCTACTTGGATGGCTGAGGCGGAAAGATCATGGAGGCCAGCAGGTCGACACTGGGGTGACCGTGAGTGTGCCACTGCACTCCAGTCTGACTCCAGTCTGACAGAGTAAGACTCCAACTCAAAAAAAAGAAAAAAAAAAAGAAACCTGCAGTGCCAGACACAGTGGCTCACACCTATAATCCCAGCATTTTGGGAAGCCAAGATGAGAGGACTGCCTGAGCCCACGGGTGCAAGACCAGCCTGGGCAACTTGGCAAGATCTCATCTCTATAATAAATAAATAAATAATTAGCCAGGCGTGTGGCACATACCTGTAGTTCCAGCTACTTGGAAGGCTGAGATGAAAGAATCACCTGAGCCCAGTAGGCAGAGGCTGTGGTGGCTATGAGCGTGCCACTGCACTCCAGCCCGGGTGACAGAGTGAGACTCCAACTCAAAAAAAAAAAAAAAGCCGGGCTCGGTGGCTCAGCCTGTAATCCCGCGCCTTTGGGAGGCTGAGGTGAGTGAATTGCCTGAGCCCGCGGGTTCGAGACCCGCCTGGGCAGCGAGACCTCATCTCTACAATAAATAAAAAAATCAGCTGGGCGTGGTGGCGCATGCCTGTAATTCCGGCTACTCGGAAGGCTGAGGCGGAAGGATCGCCGGAGCCCAGCAGGCCGAGGCTGCGGTGGCCGGG